TCGACATGTTAAATGTTCCTTAGGAGTCGTAAACATAGACAAAGTTAACCGCAAGAAACAGTATAGGAGAAAATACAAAATTTCGCATTGCTTCTGTGGTTCTGATTTATTTCCCTTTGGTTCTTTGCTTTAGCACTGAAATAGAGTCAGTGGGTAATACTGGTAATTGTAGCTGACAGTGACAAGGGGTTCTGTATTTTCACAGCAGCACAGGGAAAAGGGCCCTTGCTCGTCCTGTCTATCCTGCTCTCAGATTACTTTCTTTGACTTGCCAAGTAAGACTTTTTTGGTGAACTGCATCAGGTCAGTTATTTCCGAACTGAATCACCACTCTGCGGTGGTCTGGCTGAATGCAACGCATTTATAACAATTTTAAAGATTCCTCCAGGAGTTTTATAAAGACATATGACATTAAACTGGACAAATCGTAGTAGGTAATAGGGGAATGAAATCCTTCACTGTAGTGGTTCAGCTTTTTTCACAAAAGCCCTGAAGATTTTAGCGAAAATCCCCAGAAACAATGTCAAGCTTCTCAACAGGTTTCTGGTGTTTTAGTTCTTTCCCTAAACAGTAGTTAATGAAGGACTAGTTGTTAGAAAAGCAATTGCTTTGCTGTTCTGCAGGGGCTGACTTTTATCTGATAAACCCGCTACAGAAAGCCTCTGAACACTTTAGAAATTGCTCAGATTTACATCTAAAATTAGAATTGATGGTGTGTGGCGAGCTGGTTAACTAAGGTACATGAGCTCAAGTAGGGTTTTTCTCTCGTTTGAGTTCTTCTCAGTCCTTTCTTACGTATGATAGTGCATTTTAGGACCCACTTGCTTTATTATTATGATTACTATTATTATTTTAATTCCTAAGTTAAACTTAATAAATGAGAAAGGATCAACAAGCCTAGAATTTCTTTCCATATTAAAAACTAAGTTTCTATTTAGTCCTTGGCTAGTAATACACGCATATATCTCATTTATATAGCATATATCATAAAGATCAAGATCGTTACTTGATCTTTACGCAAAACAGATCCAAATTCTTATTCCCCTTTTATGCATAAGGAAATAAGTTCAGAGGCTTTAGTAAGTTGACCAGAATTACTCAGCTAATAAGAGTTAGAACTAAGAATGGGATCTTTTTTCCACATCTTCTGGTTCAAATGCCATGTTTGCTCATCAAGATGCCCCGTATGGTTTTTCGTTTTTCTAATTGATTTGTGTCTTATTGTAACGAATTTAACAGAAATATCTAAATCTCTTAAATAACACCTAAAATGTTAAAGAATTTAAATTCAGCATATTTATAGTTTCTTAACTTACAGGCTGCCATATTTCTACTAGTCTTTAAGGGCTTTGGGGCCATAAAGATCCAAATCCAGGCAGCTTCTGGTACCAAACGGTTGACCTTGCTCTGGCTCACATCACAAGCTATACACAAAGCCAACCAGCAAACTAACAAATGCACACTATTCGTCCAGGGATGGATGAGCAGGCAAAGGGGCAGTTGGAGAGGAAAAAATTGCCCTCTACCCTCTTAGGTTAGTTAATGGGGGCCTGAGAACTAGAATAACAAAAGACAGATTAACAGGTGAAAAGGCACACAATTTTTATCAATGTTTACGTGCACAGCAGGTCATGAGAAAGAAGTAAAACTTAAAGAAGTAGTTAGGAGTTCACAGAAAAGGAGTGAAACTGAAAGGAGTGGTTAGAATTGAGGGCTCTTATACCCTTCTGAACAAAGGAAAGAGGGTTTGGACTTCAAGGGATGATAAATTGTGGGGAAGTGACTCCAAAATATACAGGGGAAACTAATGGAAGATAAGTGCTATTTTCATAACATCTATTTGCTCAAACTCATCTTGGTATTGACTCTCCATCTTGGCTGAGAAGAGTCACTTCTTCCTCCCAGTACAGGAGTGGTGGTGGCACTTCCTCAAGGGAAATGTGTGCTCTCCTTTAAGGTAGGTCAGGGGAGGGCAGAGAACTCCTCTTGCATCTCTTGATTCTCAATTTCTTCCGGATCAAAATAATCCTTATGCCAAACTGGAAATCTTTGATATTTTGGGGTGACATATTCTGATCCCCTTAATTTCCCCCAACTAAAACTTTTCCAGAAGTTTCATACATCAAAAGCCGAGTTGGTCACTGTGAAGAAAAGATTGGAGTTAGTGGCTGAGAGGTAAGAGATTTGCAAAGGGAGAGAAGAACATGGATTAGAATGAGAATAAATAAGCAGAAAGAACAAATCAAAGCACTTTTCCCCATATCCCATTAAATCAGTCTCCCAGTCCTGGGAATAGGTCAATTTAAACAGTTCTGTCTCATTTCAGGAAGCAGTGGTACAGGCGGGAGTAGGGTACGCCCTGAACTTAGGCCTTTACGTGGTGTGAGAAACCAGGCATTTAATGAGGGGCATTTCCATGGAAACAAAAGAAAAACAAAGATTAATGGTTGAAGCAGACTATAAACCCAGTTTTTTAGCCCAGAGGGCAGTCCAGAAGATTTCTAAATGTTACACTCAAAGTGTCTTTAGATGTTGGAGTGAGGATAGTAGTGGCAGTCTCACAGTCATGGTTATGTTCTAGAGCTCAAAGGACCAGGCTCTGGTGAGCTTCCCAGTGGCTCAAACTGTTGTGGTGATAAATCCTTTGAAGTTACATCCAGTGATCCAGCCTCAGCTTGAGGGGCTTCAGGAAAAGGGCAGTTTTAGTTCTCAGTGATGTCAAGTCAAGAAGGTGGGAGAAAATTGGAAACATTGATTATAAGATGGCAAGACCTAGTTTACAAAGAAGTGAAAATAGCTCAACAACAATGAACAACCAAAAAGGTGGGTTATAATTTTCCATAGAAATATAACATCTCCCTCTAAAATCACTCCCATTTTGATCAGAGATAATCAGAGTGAGACTACTTTTGTTTGCAAAATAAGCCTAATCTCATTAAAATTGAACTAATTAGGGGGCTGGTCCAGTGGCATAGTGGTTAAGTTCCTGCACTCCACTTTGGTGGCCTGGGGTTTGTGGGTCCGGATCCCTTGCATGGCCTACTCCACTCATCAAGCCATGCTGTGGTGGTGTCCCACATACAAACTAGAGGAATATGGGCACAGATGTGAGCTCACAGTGAATCTTCCTCACCAAAAAAGAAAAAAGCCCTAATTATTTGCATAAGTGTGGCAAGAATACTAATGGACCACATAGGCCTTTTCAAGTTTTGCTTTCCTGGAACTTTTAATAAGGATTCTCAGATTAAGCTTTTAAAAGCCTCTAAAGGCTAGGAAGCCAAGCTGAGAACTCACCATCAGACTTTGCCTGCAATACCTATAGATTTGGGTGAATTCCTCTCTTCTCAAGGTCCCCAAAATATGTTGATGTCCTTGGGCCTGCCAGGATGTATCTTCCTTACTCACGCATAAGGCTGGGAACCATATTAGACAGATACCAGGCCCGTTTTTCCAAAAATGCTTTGTAAGCATTTCTCTATAAAGTCAACCTTAGTTCCTTAAAACCATCTTGTCGAATCTGATTCTATGCGATATGCCATTCCAATCAAAGCCTTGGTGATATAATCAGTGCTTCCAATTGTGTCCTGTTACAAGGAGAATCGATTCTTATTGAACTTATGTGAATAACTACATTGCTGCAAAAACAAGGATACTCAGTAAGAGCTTTTTAATTTTGTAAAAATTGGGCAGGGAGAAAAGATACGTTTCACTTTTGTTTACAAGGTATAATCTATTAAATTGTGAGTTATAGATAGTTTATGAGAAAAGAGAAAGAAGTTCCTTATATAAAGAAAATTTAAAAACCAGAGAGATTTCAAACAAATAGGCCATAAAAATTATCATCATATTTCATCATTTCATTCAGGCCCATGTAATTAATTCTTGTTCTGTTTGATCTTGGGTTAGTGGTTTTATGAACCCATCAGCTTCTCCATTAGTTTTAGAAATCCTTAGTCCAGTGGTATGACCCTACAGTTGTTTAAGCAATGTCATCAGAAGCATGGACTCCAGAGTGCCTGTCATAGTCCTTGCTGTGAGCCTCTGAAACAGTGCTTTGTTGAAGATGATGCACTGTAGCTGATTGCAAGGGCTTTCAGGAAAGCATAAGAGTCAAACAATAACTCTGTGAAAGACAAAACACTTAAAATGGCCGTGGTTAAATATGTGACGAAAGTTCATTATAATACAATTGACAAGGAAATTTGGTTGTTTCTGGCATAGTACACTTTAATTACTGGAATTATACTGATAACATTATACCAGGACATACCGTGGACAGCTAGAATATTGACAAAGTTTTAGGAATTTTATACAATATCATTTTGCCCATGCAAGATAACCTGGGGAAGATTTGGCTCATTTCTTATTTGATAATGCTTCCCATGCAATTTAATATATTAAATAAACCTAATTAGTTTAACATCTCTCTTTTTACCAAGTGAGAGAACAAATCCTTAGAGATTTTCCAGGAGCCCTCTAGGAAATAGGAAGGCAGTTCAAGGTCAAGAAAACTTCTTTAGGGGCTGGCCCCGTGGTGCAACGGTTAAGTGCACACGTTCCGCTTTGGTGGCCCGGGGTTCGCTGGTTCGGATCCCAGGTGCGGACATGGCACCACTTGGCAGGCCATGCTGTGGCAGGTGTCCCATATATAAAGTAGAGGAAGATGGTCACGGATGTTAGCTCAGGGCCAGTCTTCCTCAGCAAAAAGAGGAAGATTGGCAGCAGATGTTAGCTCAGGGCTAATCTTCCTTAAAAAAAAAAAAAAGAGATAGAGAATACTTTTCGAATTTGATTTTGGCAAGTTGTCTGAAATGTCAAAAGCTTTCAACACTTGATTAAATAGGATCACAGATCACTATGAAACAATACTTAGTTAACTTTTTAACCAAAGTGAAAATAAAAGAGTTCAAAGATAAATACAGAAGAAAACATGATTGTAAAAAAATAAACCTTAACTCTTTCAATATTGAGAAGACTTGGTTTTCTATTTTTTTTTTTTTTGAGTTCAGCTTTTTATTCACCATGTTACAAGAGGTTTAGGCAAAAAGACCAAAGCCCATGTCATCATCAGACTCCTCAGATTCTTTCTTTGCTTCCACTTTCTTCTCCTCAGCTGGGGCAGCAGCGGTGGTGGAGGGGGCAGGACCTCCAGCTGGGGCAGCCCCAGCAGGCGGGGGAGGTCCACCAGCCCCCATGTTGCAGAGGAGGCTCCGGATGCTGACATTGGCCAGGGCCTTTGCAAACAAGCCTGGCCAGAAAGGTTCGACATTTACACCGGCAGCTTTAATGAGGGCATTGATCTTATCCTCCTAAAACAAGCAAAATGGCAATCCATTAGAGAGCAAAGTGAAGCTTTCGTCAATGTCTCCGAAATATGTGATGGTCACCTCATCGTCGTGCAGGATGAGGGCCGAGTAGATGCAGGCGAGCTCCGAGACCCAGGCCCTGGTGCGCGTGAGGGCTGGGCGGCCCTGCCGGGAGCGGTGCTAATCGCTGGACGAAGTGAGGGCTCGCCCCAACGCGGCCTTAGCTTCCTCCGAAGGACCGAGCACCTTAGGGGCAGCTGAGGAAAGGGGGTTTTCTTAGATAATCAAAGACGTGACACAGACAAAATGAAACAAGCAGAATCTTTGTTTTCTAGGTGGATTACTCAAGAAGTAAAGAAAATCTATTACAATCTTTTATTAAGAATAGGCCAATCATCCAAGATAACTTTGTTTTTTTAACAGAGAAAAAAGCAAACTCTAAATTTTATAGCAGTACACTCTTTGGCTAATTTTTTTAAAACTTCATTAATAAATCCATTCAGTCTTAGCCAGCTTGATCTCACAAGATAAGATTCTTCTTCTTTCCCTCTCTTTTTCTTTTTTTTCACAGATCCTTCACAACTTTCTATATCCATTCATGATTTTGTCCTTCATTATCTTCTTTCTCATTCTGAAACAACCTTGAAATGACCTCTAAACTACTTTAGGACAAGAACACTCTCTTCTTTCCTTAACAAAAAAAAGAGATTTGCATACAGCTTTTTTTCTTTATTCTTATTGTTCCTAATAGTTCATTTACAATATATTGATTACAATTCTTAACCCTTAGTAACCTTAATTTCCAATGAAGACTGGGAAGTGGGCAATTAGGAACTGTCACATTGCAGTATTCTGTAGTACAGGAACAAATTTAGGAATAAACCATTTCATAATTTCTAAAGGCATATGTTTGTGTTTCCTCATAGTACGATTTTTCAACGTGGCAAGAGAACATGTTCACTAACGTACTCAAATGACTTTAGTCTTTCTGTAAAATTAAGACACCAAAAGTAGATGAGCTTATGTTTAATAATTAATGTTTCAGTATTTTATCTTATTTGGTAAGGATCTAGATATTCAGTGAATATCTATCATTTAAGTTAGTATAAGTTTAAGGTTTCAAGTTACCAAAAAGATTTTGAAAACTATTTTTAAACTGACATATTATAAAACATAATTGTGGTTGAAATAAAATCGTCAGAACAATGATTCAATTTGATTCAAATCACATCTATACATTTTATACTCTTAAACATCTAGTAGTTACATTAGTTTATTTTACTTGTAAACCCAAGTAGAATAAAATGTGTATGTGTATATATTTAATGCTGACAACTCTGAAGATGTACGTGTTTTTATTAAACCAATAATATTAAACTAGTTTTATTTACCAAAGATTATCCCAGATCACATGAACATGGAAAGTATTTGGGTTAGTTCTTACATTTCTGAGAGTTTTAGGAATACTTAACTTATACATGCTTATGGTTTTCCAAGCCGATTTAGAAGAGAGCTCCTTGATTAATGTGGTAATACTATCCAGAGGTAAGCAAATATCATATATATATACACATATATATATGTATGTATATATACCACACATGCTACATGCATAAATACATAGACAAACACAAATAGAGATTTTTCTTTTAAGACTTTAGCCATGAGTCAGGTGTAAATACTGAAGCACAAAACTCACTAATTTATGTAAGAGATGGTTCTCATTTTCATCTTTTATTTTTAATCCTAAATTGTTTCTGGCAAATAGAATGAGTCAAAGCTGCTTGATCAATATGAAGACTAAAGCTTTGTACCAATATTTGTAGGGGAGACTTCTAAGGTTTTTTTCCTGACATACAATCTTATGGAGGCTGTGACTTTAATCCCAGGTGGTTGTTTTAGTCTACTGAGAAGTTAAAGCAAGATGCTCTTTGGGCTGGGTGCCAGAGTTATTTCCCTGGTAGTTTACTTTTCAAGGAGACATCTCTGCCATCCTTACAAAGATGGTTTTGGGTGGTAGAAGATTTACATCTTAAAGAGGGAGAGAAAGGATGCAAGCTTTCAAGTAGTTGCTCTAAGAAAGAGTCTAGGGCCATATTTACTATTTCTAGGTTTTTGTTGTTGTTGTTGTTTCCCTGGGACAAACAGTCAATTCTTCTGACAGCATTAAGCTTTCTCAAACAGGCATTTTAAAAGGAGGAGAGAGGATGGTTTACGGTGGGTATGGATCTTAATTTTGTTCTAAATCTGGTTTCTCCTCTTTGATTTTGTTAAGGGAGTCTTTCAGGCTGGCCATAATGGTTTCTTTTCTCCTTTCAATGTGATCCTCCTATGGGTACTAATAGGACATTTATTTAGGATGAGAGCTCTCTCAAAGTTCTTTAAAATATAAAACCTTTCCCAAATCCAAGGATCATCATCTGGCCATTGATGATTCAGGATTTCCAAAGGTACACCTGTTCTAAAATGTGAGTGAAAACCAAGAAGCCTTTTGTGACTCAACACCAATAAGCTTTTTTATGGCTTAACCATAGACAAAAGAGGCATACCCAAAGAAGGTGCAGAAGAAGCAGCCCCCGTGACCCAAGGTCACTCCTAAAGATAGCCAAAGAGAAAGAAAGCAAAGACCTCTGTTGCTACAGGCAGTAAGATGGTGTTTGTGAAAACTTGTGTCTCCAGTCTCCCACAAAAGTGAGACACCTCCAATCACAGATGCCAGTCTGTGACATGTGAAGGCAATACTGAGATGGGACTTTCCCAGCACGAACAAGGTAACAAGGAAAGAGATGACAAGAGCTCCTTATAGGCTAAGGTACTTCATTTAGACAAACTCCCCTGAGAGCTGGAATAGTCAGACAGAAAATGACGCTTGTGCACTTGTGTCTCAGATTCCTAACCCGATGGCTAGCCACCTCCAGATGCAGGCCCAGCAGCCTGCACCTCTGGCAGGTGGAAAATCAGGGAGAGACTACTCTCTCCAGATCTAAGCCAAGCTCTCAGGACCAAAAACAAAATAGAAGGAGAACTCCATCTCTTTTTTTTTGAATTGTTGACCCACAGCAAAATTTGTCCACATGGATGCTGGTCTGAGAACTGTGAATTCAGTGGTCTCTGAGGCTTACGAGACCTATGCCCATGTTCTATCTTATGATTCTCCTAATGACAAGCAATACAAAAGACAGAGACAAAGGGAAAACAACGTTATCTACAGGCGGGAAAGGATCAATAACGAAAGTATGCAGGGGCTGGCCCCATGGCCTAGTGGTTACATTTGCTTCAGCAGCCTGGGTTTGGTTCCCAGGTGTGGTCCTACACCACTCGTCAGCAGCCATGCTCTGACAGCGACCCACACACAAAATAGAGGAAGATTGGCACAGATGTTAGCTTAGGGCGTTATCTTCCAAGTCAAGCAAAACGAGGAAGACTGGCAAACCAATGTTAGCTCAAGGTGAATCTTCCTCATCCAAAAAAAAAAAAAAGAAGTATGCAAACTCAAAATCACCCAAAGTACTGGTTATTACAAATGTAAAGGAAAAGACAAAGAGAGGCTCTGACCGCTCTCACTTAATGAGACTCTAAGCAGAAATCTGGGATGCTAAGTTGGTAAGAATTCTTACCTTTGCTGGCTTTGTCAGACTTCTGGAAATCTCAGCTACAGGCTCCAGAGCAAGTAGGAAGTCCCAAGCCATCCCATCCTCATGGCAAAACTATCAGAAGGAGAAGAGAAACTTTTCCTCTACTCTCTTGGCCTGCAAATTAGACTCATAAAAGACAAATAAACAGGAGAAAAGCCACACAATTTTTATTAATATTTACATGCACTTGGAGTTCACAGAAAGAAACAAAACTCAAAGGAGCGGTTAGCCTTGGGGGCTTATATATCCCTCTTAACAAAGGAAAGAGGGTTTGGGTTTCAAGGGTTGACAAAGTGTGGGGAAGTAACTAGGAAATATATGAGGGAAAGGAATGGAAGATAAAGGCTATTTTAGTCAGATCTGTTATGCAAACTCATCTTGGTGTTGACTTCCCCTCTTTGATAACGGGTCACTTTTCTCTTCCTTACTAGGAGGGGGACATCTCCCCTAAAGGGAAATTTAAGCTCTGCTTTCAGGCAGATAGGTGGAGAGCAGAGAACTCTTCCTGCATCATTTGATTCTCCATTGCCTTCAGCTCAAAATAATTCTTATGTCAAATTGTCATATTTTTGGGTGGCATATTCTAATCCCCTTCAGAGTAAATTTGACTCCGTCAGTTCAACTTATCACAATTATACCAGGTCAACAGTTTCTCTTTTTATATGCAGATTAGCATGATTTCTTTGCTTCATTATTTTCTGTAGGATGCCAAACCAGAAGCATTTAGAAAGGGAAGGGGCACTTCAGATTTCGATCATGCCTTTGAGGGAGTAAATGGGGAAATGGGGTCAGGTAAAGGCCCAAAAGAACTTGGACTGGCCAAGTTTTAAAAGAGTTTTTCAAGGATGTACAATCTCCTACATCATTTGATCTATTCTCTGATTATTTACCCTCGTTCAGCCATTCATTTATTCCACAAACATTGTATTAAACATCCTCTTTGTTACAAAGACTCTACTTTGGGTCTGAAGGAGCCCAAAGATGAACTGGCACAGTTTTTGCACTCAAAATTCTTACCCAATGGTGGGAGAGAGAGAAAATTCTTAAGTCAGGATTTGAAAAAAAGACGTGGAAGAATAAAAAATGGAGCACGCTGCTTATTAAAGAGTTGAGCCAGGAACTGAATCCCGAAGCAGAATAGGACTTCAGATTGAGGAGAAGTGGTTCACAGAGGTGAAATCACGGGCAGGTTAGTGATAGAGCATGTGTAAAATGTTTGAAACACAAAAAAATTCCTAATATCCTGGGGTGGTAGAAGTGTAAGGTTTGCAGGAGGCAATATCCAAAGAAGAGATTAAAATGGTAGGTTGAGGCCAGTCTTGGAATGCCATTGGAACATTACTTACATCTTGTTGGCTACCATGAGCTGACACTGAGGCGTCTAAGTTGGGAAGTGTTATGATTTACTCTGTTCTTTTTAGGAAAGCATCGTTGGTGGCTGTGAAAATGATAAACCAGAGTGGGGAGAATTTGTTGCCAAAGGAAACAGTTAAGAATATGTTGCAATAGTCCAGTCAAAGAGTAAATAAGGGGTGCCTTCATACACTGTCAGTGGGAATATACAACATTTTTGGAAGATAATTGGGTAGTAGTTATTAATCTTGTAGAAATCTTTGCACAAGGGTACAAAGGTATGTGTAGAAGCGAGTTCTATGCAGCAGCTACCTATATGTCCGTCTGGGGAAGATCAATTAAACTGTGATATAGCTAAACAACATAATATTTCCCACCGATCAATAAGAGTTGTAGAGATATATATCCTACCCTGAAAAGGTGTCCACAATGTGAATTTTTTTTTAAGTTGCAAAACAATATATATAATATAAGCTTATATTTGTGAAAACAAAAACAAACTTTTCTATTTGGCTGTATACATGTGGAAAATATGTATACCCAAATGGTAGCAGTTGTCATTCTGATATGTAGAACCATAAGGAGGTTTTTGCCATCTATTTTTTATGCTTGTATATAATTTGAATTGTTTATATTATTCATATGTTACTGTTTAACCTAAAAAAAATACTTAAGACTTTAAAACAGAGATGCCGGGATTAAGGCAGTGGAAGTAGGCTGGAGAGGAAAGACTTTGAAAGCCATGACCAAACTAGATTGCAGATGATGGTATTTGAAAGAGACGAGATTGAGAGAGCAAAGAGTTGAAGGCAACATCAACATTTCTAATTTAGTAGATTGGTTGCTTGGTGATTCTATTAATAGAAATAGAGAAAAGAGAAAGAAAAGGAAGGTTTCACTGAAGAAGGTGAGTTTGTGAGTTTCATTTTGGATTTAAGTTTGAGGGTCCTGGAAAGGCATCTATATACCTTCCTTGAACCACTCTATTTTCCACCTTCTCAGCAAGTTATTAATATTTATGAAGTCTTGGCAGGTTGATCTGTCTGTATGGGGCAGGGGAGTTAATATTTTTAGAGATTAATGTTCTCATCTATCCTGGGCCTTTTACTTTCCTTTGATTCAGATCCTGAAATTATTGCTGGAGGGAAGGAATGTAGCATAGGCTTTGAGATTCTATTTTTGTTTTTTGTCTCCCTCAAGCTTAGCCCCAGAATAGAGAGAAGATTCCTAATCGTAGGAAAAAATGTCTTGGCCAGAATGGGTGAGAGAACATGGCTACCCTAGATATCTAAAAGTATGATTCCAATGAGGTGGAGAAAGGGAAGGAAAAAAGAGAAATGTTTACAGGTACCTGGAGAGAGAAAATGAAAGACCTGCACTCCACTTCCTGAGTAATGCTCCTAGGGAGACAGTAAGACACCCGAAGGTGTAGGACCCTAGTGAACAGGGACCTTCACCTTCTTGGCAGGAAGGATGGAGCACGAGGGGGTAGAGGACAGACAGAGCAGGAAGAATGACTTCAGAGGAGAAGTGACTGCATTTATGTTGAGGCTGATGGTTCATCGAAAGCCACAACAAGAGGCTCAAATTCTTGCTCCGAAGCATCAGGGACCACCACACCCTAAGAGCTGTGGGAGCTGATTCGTGGCCTCTTCTCAGGAATCAAGGAGGAGGGATGACTCCAGGATCAAGGGCTGGCTTGACTCTCCTCAGCTCTGTTTCTGTCCCATCCACCCAGAATCCTGGAAAAAAAATCTGTGGGTCAAGGGTCCTATAAAGACCGAGGTGAATTTTCTCACCGGTCCCAAAGGTTAGGGACATGAAATCAACTCTGAGAAAATGAAGGTATATTTTTTAAAATATTTGAATAATGGACTGAAATTTTTATCTACTAGATCAGATAAGATGGAAACTTCCTATTGACATAGTAACCAGACATACGTGTTCAAACAGTTATACAACAGATTATTATCAACAAATACATCAGTAAACAAACTTATATGACCCTGCCTGGCCATTCTTGTTTCTCATCAACACACACACACACATGCATGAAATTCTGTGGAACATAGAGACTCCTTAAAAACATGTATATTTTGAGTGAAGAAGAGTTGCTTATGGCCCTGAAGTTCCACAGAAAACCTCTTCTTTCTTCAATATTATGAAAGTATTACACTTTTCCCCATTTTTGTCTCAGATTATCACAGACACTTCTGATCAGTTTCATATACTTAAACATAGCCATGATTATGCACAGGTGTTTCATACTTAACGTGAAAAGAGCAACAGTAGTTAGATTATTTTAAGCCTCTTAGATTGACTGGCTTTGAGAACGTTTTAAGTCTGTACAAACGAGGGTTTGTCAATTGAGTTGCACTGGTTTGTGTTGAGTCAGCCAAACGTACTCAATGATAAAAACATTGAAGACTTTCAAACCAGGCAAGACTCCACTAAGATTAAATACATTTGGTGAAGGCAAAGGTGTGATTGAAAGGAAATCTCAGGGCAGATGAGAAGATGAGTGGCCATCAGGCTAGGATTGTGCAGGTGTCACGCCAAATGCAGAGAGTGCGGCCTCAGGATGCTGTGATGTTATTTGACAGACAGAGCCAGGACCAGGGGGGTGGGGCTGGGGGAGAAGCTCCAGTCTTGTGCTGAACATAGTGTTGGTCTCTTCAGCATATGCCAAGTGGAAGGCTGCAATGTCATCAGAGGTCATTCCATGACAGGTTCCCAGTTCCTGTGCTGGCTTTCTTCACAATCCAAGAATAAGAAGAAGGAGGTGGGAGAGAAAGGGGAGTGAGGAGTGAAGAAACTTATAGAGGAATTGGGTTTTTTATGGAAAGATATTTGTTTGATACTAATAGAAACAGATATAGTTACTATATTTGGAATTGCTTCAAAATTATTGAGGAAATTTTATTTGAATTACTTCAAAAATATGCCTACTTTTCAAAAGATTTTGTGATAGGCTTTATAATTTAGCCAACAATTGGAAATCCTAGGAATAACTTATTAAACTAAATTTGACGTGGAGGGTAACAGAATGATGAAATAAAAACATATTGTAGCTTTATGATCTCAAGAATTTCCTTCAGTAGGTGCTATTTTGTATAGCTTTTGTTGTTTTGTTGTTGTTGTTGTTTTCCCTTTTATTGAGATATCATTGACATATGACACTGTGTTAGTTTTAGGTGTACAACATGAGGATTCGACGCATGTGTATACTGTGAAATAATTACCACAATTACGTATAGTTAACATCCATCGCCTCACATAGTTACCAAGGTTTTTTTTCTTGTTTTACAGCTTTTTATTTATTTTTGATTTATACTTTTGTTTACATTTCAAAAGGACCTGATAATAATAGATAACATTTACGGAGCATTTATTTTATGCCAGGCATTCTTCTAAATGCCTTCATTTCATTTCTCTCACACTTATCTGGTAAGCGCTTTTATTAATGTATTTTATTGATGCTGTGAATGAAGCACAGAAAAGCTGAGCAACTTGTTCAGGACCACACAGCTAGTAAGTGCAGGCCAAGATTTGAAGCCAGGCAGGTTGATTTCAGCACTTACCATCTTAAACACAATAGTATGTTGCCTTCGGTATATGATGGATGCTTCTGGAAGAGGGATTAGTTGGAGGCATTTGCATTTTTTCATCTTTAAAGTCATATGCTGTCTGACTTTTTTATA